GTCTTGTGTCTATTTGGGGTGTGAGCTGAGAGTTATTGTGGAACAATAGGGGCAGGGACACAGTATTAATAAAGGAACAGGCCTCTGAAAATTAAGAGGGATCAAGTGTTGTTCCAACCACTCTGATCTCTTTTGAGTTCTTGCTACCAGGAAGCAGGGACAGGCAACCTCCAAAGGCTTATAATTTTGGGCATTCTGAGGCTCACTCCTAGTTCAGAAGATTATTGGGTGAGGGAAAGAGCAGCTGGGATTTGGAGAAGTGTGAATCTCATTTTTCACATTGTCCTGACTTTACCCATCTACGAATTGGCACTTGTACTCTTCTTTCTGTTGCCAACATCTGGAGGCAGAAGAAAGGCATTCCTCATGTGTGGCCATCAGTCCCAGTGTTTTCTGTATTGTATTTCTAGTGAGATGCTGGCCAAATAGCTCACTGGTTTAGGTATCTGGCTGTGGAGCCAGAGGTTGGGAGTCCAGTTTCCCACCGTTTCTCCTGGGAGAAGAGCCAGCCTGGGTGGCCTTGGGTGAGCTATAGAGTCCCAGGATGCCCTGGAAAGAAGGGAACGGTAAAACATTTCTGAGTACTGTCTACCTGGAAAAGGGTCACCGTAGGTCAGAATTTATTTGAAGGCACATCACCATCACCATCATCGTTATTATATCCTGTAAAAACCAAGATTTTCCTGCAAGCCTTCAGAATTTTCCCTGTGTATGCAGGAACTTACTCATACTTTGCAGGAACACAAAGAAAGTCAACACTGGGGAAACTATGAGTCTATGAAGGAACACTGTTTTAACTGTTCCAGGACACTGGAGAATAAAAGAATAAATAGTTGTTCAGTAAGTAGTTCAGTTAAAAAAGTTTAAACTCTCGATAGAACAGCTGTCTAGTATCAGGAGCATTTAAGTACCACAGAACTCGATTTACAAGGGATTTGGGAAGCTACTAATAGTCTTCTTTGTAGCCATGTTGCTATTGGTTTCTCTTTGCCCAGTTCCAAGTACTTGAGTTGAAAACAAACAGTTTGCGCCTTCCATAGCTGGTTTTAAAAGACACCAGCAGGTGCTGAAACGAAAAGAGCCCAAGTTCTTTGGGCCACGAGACATCCTGGACAATTGTCATCAGCAGAAAGTGGCCTTAGAACTTAATATGCTGTGTTTCCGGGATCAGTCCCAAGAATATGCTGAAGATTGAATTACAGGATTATTTTGCAAAATGCAGAGATTTTCTTGCAATGCAGTGCATGGAAGGAGACTTCAGACATTAGTAGTGAAAGTTCTGGATGAGTTTGAGGTAGCAGAGGAGTCCACTCACCTGACAAGTAAGGAAACAAGAGATATTCCTTTTAGCCAATTTCTGAAAACTGTCCCATTTTACAGGTCACATTGCAGTTCAGGAGGAAGCTTAGGAGAAGGAGGACGGCATCATTACTAATAGATCTTAATGTTCATGAGCAATATTTTTAAAAAGCACATGAAGTTGTCTCAAGCTGTGACATACTGATAGACCTGTTCAGTGAAAGTAGGGAGACAAGAGATATTCCTTTTAGCCAATTTCTGAAAACTGTCCCATTTTACAGGTCACACTGCAGTTCAGGAGGAAGCTTAGGAGAAGGAGGACGGCATCATTACTAATAGATCTTAATGTTCATGAGCAATATTTTTTAAAAGCACATGAAGTTATCTCAAGCTGTGACATACTGATAGACCTGTTCAGTGAAGAGGGACCAACAAGAGTGCTTTTAGCTAAAGTGTCTATGCTGGTCATGCATGATCTACTCACATTTTATAGGACCTATCATTGTCAAGGTATAGTTGTTATTCTGTGTTTTTTCCATTCTGCTTCTATTTCTTTTTGGAAATCCAACTTTAGGGCGGGAAAAGGAAAAGAACTGTAGTACATCATAATGATTATTCCTACGACTCCGTCATATTTTTAAGTGCTATGATTGGTGCTCCCTCTGTGTGTCATACTGGGACTTATTTTGAGTTTGGGTCTTATTTTTGGAGAAACAGGGTAGTTATAAGGCATTGAGGATGTTTAATTAGACAATAAGTAGTCTTCAGGCAATTTGTAGGACTAAGGTTGGTTCTGACCTGAACGTATCTTCAGCACAGCACCTGTCTTCTTTTCTCTTCTTAGGTATCAATGGCTGAAATCCTATTGCTTAGCATAGTAAGTCACAACTAGAGTGGACCCATGAAATCCATGAGGATTTGGTGAATCAACTTGTTCCATAAATTCCATTGATTCAATAGGCCAACTCTAGTTGTGATTTACTGTTCTAAGCAAGAGGATTTTAGCTGGCATGACAGAAACTCTTTTCTCTGTTCTGGGTTCTTTGAAAGTGACCTGGTTTCTTACCACAGAACATTATGAACAGTCTTCCAGTCTTGCCAAACTTTTATCTTACAGTTAGCAGAATGTTTAATGTGCAGTGTCTATGGGAGAACTTGGAAAAGTTACATTTGCAGCTGTAGTTCTCAGAATCCCCCATTCAGCATGACTTTGGGATATTGGCTATAAGGAGTGGCGTAGAACCTGAATTTTTTTTTAGTCTTTCTTTTTTTTAAAGTAACAAGCTACTGTTTATGTGGAGGAAACCTATTTATTAACATAGAGCTATATTGGCATATATCTCAGTGAGATTTTTTGCATCCCATAGTTTTAAATATGTTCCTTGGAATAGCAGTCACCATACCTCCTAGCTCAATGGTTCCCAACTTTGGGTCCCCAGATGTCCTTGGACTACAACTCCCGGCCAGCACAGCTAGTGGTGAAAGCTTCTGGGTGCTGAAGTCCAAGAATATCTAGGGACCCAAGGTTGCTAGCTGCTGTTAATCTGATGGCCAAAGACTTTTCTAAGTTAATTAACCATAATGCCTCATTACACACAAACTGGGAAACTGTGGCTCCTAGATTCAGTACAAACGTGAAATCAGCTTTAGAGAATACCTTTAAAATTCATTGTGTTTTGAACCTTGTAAGAATGGTTTCCGAAATCAGAAGTAGAAGGAAACCATGGTCCATTAACCTGGGAAGTTTGTAGTTATGGCATGTAGGAAAGGGGCAGTGGGGAAACTGTGGGAAGGTACAAGGCTCCTTTATATATCTTGGCTTTGTAACCCTAAGACCTGACCATGTTTACTTCATAAAACTATGCAAGCATCTACTTGCCCAGTTAAGGCCCAGTTGACTGCATCCTTGCAAATTAACATGCATTAATGTTTTTTGCTTTTACACCTTTGTCTATTATTTTTTCGTGTTTGCTGTTTGATTGTAGTTCTGCTTGATTGTGTTATTTTTTTATATGTACGCCATCCAGAATAGTGTTATGCACTAATGGGGCAGTATATAAATCTCAGAAATAAAATAAATAAATTAAACAAATAATGTGCTGGTTTTGAAAAATACAGATAAAAGTGAGCAGTGATAGAGACCAGACAATCAGAATTGCAGAAGGGGGAATTTATTTATTTATTTATTTATTTATTTATTTATTCATTCATTCATTCATTCATTCATTCATTCATTCATTCATTCATTCATTCTGTTTATATCCTGCCTATCTGGTAACATGACCACTCTAGGCGGCTTACAACATCATTACACAATAATATAACTCTTTTTCTCTCCACCATGATTCTGAGGAACCATTACCCAATCATTTAACTCTTTTTCTCTCCACCATGATTCTGAGCAAGATTCCTCCACCAAAGCAGGTATTGGCTTTGGAGACAAATTCCCCATTCACACCACTGTGGGCGTTCTTTCTGTTGCAGAGGGAGATTTGAAGGAGGTGCCTTCTTCAGATCAGTAACAGGCAATGAAAAGGTTAAAATCTTCCTCCATGCCTGCTGTGTCCTGATAATTTTCATCCTGCACAGCTGAAGCTATTTGAATTTTTAATACTTGCACATAATGTGCAAAGGTGCAGTTAAGAGTGCATCTAGTTTGGTAAGCTACGGCCTTTGATATGCAAAACCTGAGCACTGAAAGTTTCAGCAGAGCTTTTAATGATAGGAATTTAGAGAGGTCATTAATTCATAGGTTGCCATACATTACAAGCAACTTGACAGTATACAACAATTACTGGCTTGAAATTTAAATTTTACATTGGTCAGCATAGTTGATGTGTTTTCGTGAGCCAGCCCATACTTGCCTGCAGGCAATCTGCTAACAACTACTGAGACACAACAGGCAAACCAACATGGGGAAAGGGAGAGTGATCAAGACCTTGTCACAAACCTAGATATCATACCCTCTACACTGGAAGTACCATCTCAGGCCTCAGCAATATTATCTGCAACGTCAAGGGCTCATTTGCTTGCCATTTTCTACACAAAACAATAGGTAAAGGTAAAGGTTCCCCTTGACATTTAGTCCAGTCGTGTCCGACTCTAGGGGGCGGTGCTTATCCCCGTGTCCAAGCCGTAGAGCCAGCGTTTTTCCGAAGACAGTTTCCATGGTCACGTGGCCAGCATGACTAGACACGGAACGTCATTACCTTCCCACCAAGGTGGCACCTATTTATCTACTCACATTTTTACATGCTTTCGAATTGCTAAGTTGGCAGGAAAAGAATAAATGGATACAAATCTGACATCAGGAATGGCAACACAGAGAAACCAGTTTCAGAATACAATAGGACCATCATATCCACAGGATCAGTACCCATGGTTTCACTTATCCACTGTCTGAAAATATTAATTTTAAAAAAAACCTCATTTTCACATTCTTGACAAGCTTTTGTACTCCATGATGATCGTATTTGAGTGCCACCAGTCATTGATGTTGAGAGATTTTGTACTTCCTTTACTGACCTTTTAGTCAGCAACAGAATAATAGAAGCAGCAGAACCAAAGATCCATGGACCGTGAAGACTCACTGTGTAGTGGTTGGCCAATGGATGCTACTTCAATTTAATTAGTCCTTCATGTTCCACATAAAACTCTTTCTTACTGCCATTGCATTGATAACTGTAATATGTAACTGTATTATTTTAATGTCTTTTAGGTCCAACAGCTCAACGCCAGGTTCAGAATGGACCTTCTCCAGATGATATGGAAATTCAGAGAAGGTAAGGAGCAAAACTCTGCGGTAACATTGCAAATTAATATTTTGCCTTTTTTTACCCTAGTGTTTTCATCAAACCTTCAGGAATCCAATTCTATGCAATTTGCTGTGATTCCTAATTTTTCACAGTTGCTACTTCTTATGTCAGAATTGTCCTCTGTAATTGGTTCAGGTTTGAAGTATTCCTGTGATAACTTAGAGAAACTCTGTTAGACATATTTGAGCGTAGATGTGCATTAGCAGTCATAATATATGAACCAGGTGTTCACTTATCAAGGCAGCTTTGGACAGTGATCTACCTCAGATAGGCACCATGACTCCCTCTCTCCTGTTCCCATTTTAAATGTCTTCAGCACAAAGATCCTGATTTGCATTCAAGCTTGATCAGATCCTTGCAGCTGCAGCAGTGGCTGCTTCTCTCTCTTCTTGATGATGATGATGATAAAATATATTTATAGGCCATATTTTATGATGGAAAGCATCACAAATTGGCTTGACACTAAGTAAAAACTACTGATTTCTTCATCAGACCCTAAAACAGCATTTAATTAAATTATCTTAATGAACAGTGTCCTCCAAAACTGATATATTTGCTAACTAATATTAGGGCAGTTGTACATTTACACCTAACTTATCATCATCAACTGCATTAAAATGCACACCAAGATGAGCATGCCTAAATCATTGGTCGTTTGGGAAGCTTTCTCTCTTTTGGGGGATTGACTCTCACCACAAAGAGTGAGGTTCGCAGCTTGGGGGTCCATCTGGATCCAGCGCTTACCATGGAAACCCAGGTCGTGTCAGTGGTCCGCTCAGCCTGTTTCCATCTCAGGCGGATTACTCAGCTGCATCCCTATCTTGATGTTGGGGCACTCTCCACTCTAGTTCATGCGCGTGTGGTCTCAAGATTAGACTACAGTGGTGCCTCGCTTAACGGAGTGAGGTTCGCAGCTTGGGGGTCCATCTGGATCCAGCGCTTACCATGGAAACCCAGGTCGTGTCAGTGGTCCGCTCAGCCTGTTTCCATCTCAGGCGGATTACTCAGCTGCATCCCTATCTTGATGTTGGGGCACTCTCCACTCTAGTTCATGCGCGTGTGGTCTCAAGATTAGACTACAGTGGTGCCTCGCTTAACGGGTGCCCCGTTTAACGAGGAATTCACTTAACAAAGATTTTGCGATCGCTTTTGCAATCGCATAACGTTGTTTCCTATGGGGAAAAATTGCTTTGCGATTTTTCCCCATAGGCTCCATTTCCCCCAGCTGACTGGAGGGGCTTCTTCCGAATCTCCTGCCAGTCAGCTGGGGGAAAAAGTCGGCGGGCGTTCGGCAGGAGGGGAAAGGGGCCTTCCTTTCTCCTCCTGGCCGATCGCCAGCCAGAGAAGCCCCTGCGCGCTCGGCAGGAGGGGAAAGGAGGCTTCTTT